TCGGACTGCGCCAAGACGGCATTTAGGACGAGGTACGGGTCATTCGAGTACACTGTGATGCCATTCGGGCTGACCAACGCCCCGGCGACATTCCAAATGACCATGAACGAGGCGTTTAGACCACTCTTAGATAAATGCGTGATAATTTACCTCGACGACATCCTAGTCTACAGTCGTGATAAGCAGCAGCACTTAGCAGACCTGGAAGCAGTTTTTAAGGTTTTAGACGAGCACCGCCTACTGACCAAGGGTTCCAAGTGCGAGTTTTTTCAGGACAGGCTAGAATTTTTGGGGCACGTTATTTCGGAGGCTGGGGTTGAGATCGACCCAAAGAAGCTTGACACGGTAAAAGCGTGGCACCCCCCGACAAACATCACGGAGCTGCAGAGTTTTTTAGGGTTCGTTAATTATGTGCGTCGGTTCGTCCCCGACATGGCACGGCTAACTGCCCCACTAACGGATTTACTGCGGAAGGGGGTCGCTTTTACGTGGGGGGAGAAAGAGCATGCTGCCTTCTCTGCCCTTAAAAATGTTCTCTGTTCACCGCCCGTACTGCGCATCGCCGACCCACACCGCCCTTTCGAAGTAGTTACAGACGCAAGCGACAACGCCATTGGGGCCGTCCTACTACAGGATTTCGGCAACGGCCTACAGCCCATCGCATACGAGTCACGAAAGCTGCATCCGCCCGAGAAAAATTACCCGATACACGACCGCGAAATGCTCGCGATCGTGCATGCGTTCAAGGTCTGGCGCTGTTACTTGACCGGCGCAGACGTGACAGTACGGACAGACTACAGATCACTACAGTACCTCCGCGCACAGCCCCACCTCAACCCACGACAGATCCGCTGGCTCGATTTCCTCGAGTCAAGCTTCCACTACACGGTCACCTATAAAAAGGGAGCATTGAACATTGCCGACGCACTGACCCGCCCAACTGCCCAGATCCACGCCATACTACTCGCACAGACCAGCCCGCTACTGACAGACCTATATACCCACGGGTATCAGACAGACCCCTTCTTTACCGGAACTCGCAGCAGTTCACAGCAGCAAAAGGGGTGTATTACGTAAAAGCCGGCACCGACCGCATCTGGGTACCGGGCTACACTTTACAAAGGGAACTGTTACTACAGGAGGCACACGATGGGGTTACCTGAGGACATTACGGGGTAGAGAAAACACGGCAGCAGCTGCAGCGGTATTACTACTGGCCCGAGATGCTGACCGACGTGCAACGACACGTGGCATCGTGTCCCACCTGCCAGCTCATGAAGTTATCACGACAACGATCGGCAGGACAGTTGCAGCCGATACCACCCCCAGAGCGTGCTTGGCAGCAGGTGACGATGGACTTCGTCACGGGGTTACCGGCTGGAGCAAGTGGGAACGACGCGATCCTGGTCGTCGTAGATCGGCTGACGAAGATGGCACACTTCGTAGCCTGCAAGAAATCAATCACAGCCGAAGAAACAGCTCGCCTCTTCATCGCCACCATCGTTCGACTACACGGGATGCCAGCGGCGATCATCAGCGACCGCGGCACGAAATTTACCAGCAACTTCTGGCGGAACATGTGGCAGCAGTTCGGCACACAACTACAATTCAGTTCATCATACCACCTCGAAACCGACGGACAGACAGAACGGACAAATCAGACCATGGAACAACTCATCCGAGCCACGTGCGACGTCCCGACCACATGGGAACAACAACTGCCACTCATCGAGTTCGCGCACAACACCTCGCCATCTGCCACGACCCAACAGTCACCGTTTTATCTGAACTACGGACAAGATCCCACAGTACCCATGACCCCGAATCCCGACAACCCAGTCCCACGCGCGCAACAGTTCGCAGAAATACTGCAAGCAGCACGGACCCGGGCAGCATAAGCAATAAAAAAATCAAACGTCATCGCTAAGCGCAACGCCGACCGACACCGCCGCCCTGTCACTTACCAACCCGACGACCTGGCATTACTCGACACTCAAAACATCCGCCTGCCCATCACCCCAAAACTCCGCCCTCGATGTTGCGGGCCATTTCGCATCAGCCACATGATCAAACCCGTCACCGCCCACCTCCCCCTCCCTGTTGACTGGTACGTCAGCCCGTCATTCCACGTCAGCCTGCTTCGCCCATACGTGCCATCCACCAGCCAACTGCCTCGCAACCACCCCGCCAACATGACACGACCACCGACAGAGCCAATCATCACGCCCGAAAAAATACTAAGCCACCGAGTAAGGGCATGTTCCTACGCCCCTTATCAGGCCAACCTCTTATCACGCTCGCGTCAAAACACACTGAGATTCCCGTAAACCCAAAAACCTTCCCGAAACTTACCAGGCAAGCCTGACAAGAGGTTTGCCTGGTAAGAGTGTAAGAACATGCCCTAAGTGACCCACGGGGAGCCCGCAGGATCGAATTTCTAATCCGCTGGAAAGACCGCACGCCCACCGAAGACAACTGGGTTCCCCTGGATAGAATTGAGAATCACCCTGTCCTGACTGAGTATCTACGTAGCCGAAACTTTCGAGATGTACACGCGCTCTCGTAAGAGGTGCCTCCTTGGGGAGGGGGGTAGTGTAAGGAAAATACTTTTTCCTTACTTCGCGTCCCTGCTTACCGCGTACATGCCCGTTCCCGCCATCGGCACCCATCCGTGAACGTTACCCGCTCGCGACATTCGCCTCGACCACGACTCCCGCCACTGTTCACGATGCGACCCAACCTCACGGTTCGGTTGGTAACCCGCGCTCCGGACCTCCGCCGCGACAATTCTCAACCTCGGCGCTAGGCACGTCGCGCACCCCAATTTCCACGCATTACCGTTACCACTGTAGTTTCGCTATATACTCTTCGCTCATGCATTCGCTCATTGTACTCTTGCTTCGATAGTGCAATTCTCACTCGCTCGTTCAATTGCACTCGTAACACGTGCCTTGATGTGAATCTGCACCACGTGTTTTCTTGCCTCACCTTGTCCTTTCGCACAAATATACCCTTTATGGAAACGACCCAAACTTCCGTTTCACATTGCAAATAACGAACCAGCAAGGAACACACAAGTACCGATTCCCTGAGACTTCAGCTTTCAAAATCAAATAGTTTCTCTATATTTCTGTGTTATGAAGCCTTTCAGAATTGTATAAAAGCTCGAAATCATGTATGAGACTTCCACTAGAACAATCCACCACAATAGGCAAAATTCTAGCAAATGGAAAGTAATGTTCACTGAGTGAGTGAACAAACACCTTGGAGATGTGTACCTGGGCTCTACACATCAAGTTCCATCAATTGTCAATCCCCAAATTCTCAAACGGCTCCTCTGCCACTCCTAGTGCTTACAGGCGCTTCCACCACGGCTGGATGAAACCAAACTCGCCCTTGGCGCAACCAGCAGGGTTCGTCGCGGTGTTGAAAATCGCGTAGTAGTTCTTAGGGTTCTGGATCATGGCGTCCACGGTGTCCTTGAGCGGGCCAGCGGCGACGGTAACAGCGCTGGCCGGGGTCCACTTGCCCTTGAACCTGTAGGAGTACGGAACGAACTTCTGCAGGAACTTGAACACGCGGAGCTCGTACGTGGTGTTCTTGTACGTCTGACCCGCGCCCAGGTCGATAACCAGGCTATTGTCGGCCGCGCTGTTGACTGTGAACGCGGTGGGTTCCCCGGGCTCCTTGGATTCGGCCTCCGCGCCGAATCGGATGTTGTAATCGTCGCCCTTCCTGGAAAACCATTGAAACACGACAGGGTGCGGATCAGTATCGAGAAAACGATGCGCAATGTATAAGTGTTACTATAAAAAAAACATATGCTAGGGATTAATGATTTTGTTTTATTTGTGCGGTAGGCAGTTATTTCTGATATATTTGATATAGCAGTCTTACTTGTAGATGGCCATGTAGGCATAGCCGTCGGACATCTTGTCGGCGCCGTCCACGTGGTCCAGCTCAGCATAGAGCGATCCCTGGTAAACTCCCATGAACACGTCATTTTTCTCGATCTTCTGCAGCCCGGCGCGAACGCTCGCCGGCGGACGCGCGAATCCTGCAAACACGTTCAAGAACGCGTCAGCTTCTGCGTTATGACAGATTTCACAGCATCGCTGTCTGATGCATTCACAGTGCATCCACGTAAAAAATGTGTTTGTAATCTGAAATCTTGCTCGATGACGTACCGACTGCGGCAAGGCATGCCAACGTGACGACGAAGATGGCGATTTTCTGAGCCATAGCGGCCTTTGTCTGGCTGAATAGAGAAGCTGAAGACTTGAGTGGGCTGTCGAATGGATTGATTCTGTGTTCGAGCTGCTCAATGATGGCTGTGTGCTGCGGAATGTATCTTACGAGGCTGAAATGCCGAATTTATGCATTCAGCAAAATGTGGAATTCAAACGCCCAGAGCCACATTTCGAGCCGCGTTGTTGTCTGAAGACGCACGATGATGCCGCCGAACACGAGAAGTGAAATGCCACTTTCTGGGCGCTTATCCTAGGCCGGTGGAAAACTTCTCACAGAGTAAGTGAAGAATATGTGACACTATCGATCTCTCAGCCAGTGGGGGGACAATTGAAGTGTGTATTCTCCCCAACCAGCGCTTATATCGATGGGAGGCTACGCCTAGTCCTCACCTCAGCCTAGGATGTGGGTGCAAACACACAGATGCAGCTGAGCATGGCAGAACGGTTTTGGACATCACCGAAGCACAGAACACACCACCTCAAAGTTCTGGTAGGTGTAGAGTATTTAGATTACAAAAACCACTGCATATAGTTATCTTCGGAAGCTAGATTTTAGCTAGGCACTAATACATATATGGCGAGACCTGTCACAACCTGACAGCTAGTTCTTTGCCTCTAGAACTACATTCACTGTCACTTCCCTATCCCCTCTCAGTACTGTGACAGCAACCTGCACACAAATGATTGCAACTCATGAGCAAAAAACCCACCACGGATACGTACATTGTATACGACTTAATGTGCACTTACCGTGTCTCCCACTTGGCAATCATCGAGCGCCCGATAGAGATCTGTTCCGCTTCGCACTTTATGGTTGTCTATGGCATTTATAATGTCGCCCAATACCAGCCGACCATAGTGGTCTCTCGATGTGGGACGGAGACCCTGAGCAAACATGGATAGCGAATAAATAGGTAATTCTACTCGACAGCGTGGGAATAAATGAATGAGGGAAACTAGGGAGAGCAGCAAACAAAGGAGATATAGTATAAACTACAGTCACTGTACACAAACTCACAGCTTTGCCAGCGGGCCCGGAGGGAGGGGCGTCAAGAACAAGCACCCCATCCACGCCCAGCTGCTCCACTGCCTCCTCGGGCGCAAAGGAGATCCCCAGCACCGGCCGCACAATTTATGAGTCGACTAAAAAAAATGAACTCACCGCTTTGCCTGCGGGACCAGAAGGTGGGGCATCAAGCACGAGCACCCCATCGACGCCCAGCTTCTCCACTGCCTCCTCGGGCGCAAATGAGATACCCAGCACCGGCCGCACCACCCTGCCGTTCTCGATTATCTGCTCCACAATGCCGCTGATCTGCGGGGTTGGTGTGAAGGAGCATGGGGAAAGGGAGAGGGGGGGGAGGAGGGGGAGGGGGGGATATGTCACTGTTCTGTAACACAGAGGTGACTTTTCAGTCGTGAAAGAAAGAAAGAAAAAAAAAAAACACACACACACACACACACCAACAACAAAAGGTGAATACATATCCCGCTAAGCATTGTCAGCATGACTCACACTGTCAGCAGGAATGGCGAGTCTAACACCGGAAGAAGCACCGGAGGGTGAATAGATAGCCGTATTGATGATTGTATCCTTTACAAGCATATCTCGCTATGAAAACATGTTAGCTCAACTCACACTGTCAGCAGGAATGGCGAATCCAACACCGGAAGAAGCACCGGAGGGTGAATAGATAGCTGTGTTGATGCCAATCAGGCTGCCACTAGAGTCCAAAAGAGGCCCACCGCTGTTACCCGGGTTTATGGCAGCATCTGTTTGTATCACCCCCTGTATTGGCCGCCCTGTTGTTGCTGATTGCATCTCTCTCCTCAAACCACTGGTGAGATGATGGAGGGTAGAGGAGATGGAGGAGAGGAAGGGAAGGAAAAAGGATGATTAGGAGGAAGAAAGAGAGTGGATAAAAAAAGTGTGTCAAGGCTGTAAAAGGAGAAGATGAAGAAGGAAATAGCATGTCGGTTGCATAGCTTCCGGGAGCTTAAAGGTAAAACAAGTGACGGGAACAAATCCGATTTGCTGAATGCATGCAAAGTGGACAACATTCTAGGCTTGCATCCCTATATAGACCGACCTGATACTCATTAAACTGACCTGATCACGCCTGATGTTAGAGTGTGATCGAGCCCAAACTGTGGGGAACAGGAGAAAGGCAAGGGCCAAGCGCAACGGGGTGATATTCTTGGGTAAATAAACGGTACATGAGACTAGGGCAGATATCAGCACACGGGAGGTGAGGTGGGGGGAAGGTGAGTGAGTGAGGGAGCGAGTATGAGTGAGGAGGGCTGTGACTCACGGGGTTGCCGATGGCGAAGACCCGTTGCCCAACCATGAGATCAGAGGACGATCCGATGGTAACCGGGTGCAGTGACTCCCGAGGGGCAAAACAGGGTTACCAGTGGCGGAGTCTGGCTGGGTGTGACTCACGGGGTTACCAATTGCGAAGACCCGTTGCCCGACCATGAGGTCTGACGATGATCCGATGGTGACCGGGTGCAGCGACTCCTGGGGGGCATCGACACGTGATGTGAGAGTAGAGTGCGGCAACCTGATGCCTATCAAACTGTGACTCACGGGGTTACCAATGGCGAAGACCCGTTGCCCGACCATGAGGTCTGAGGACGATCCGATGGTGACCGGGTGCAGCGACTCCTGGGGGGCATCGACACGTGATGTGAGAGTAGAGTGCGGCAACCTGATGCCTATCAAACTGTGACTCACGGGGTTACCAATTGCGAAGACCCGTTGCCCGACCATGAGGTCTGACGATGATCCGATGGTGACCGGGTGCAGCGACTCCTGGGGGGCATCGACACGTGATGTGAGAGTAGAGTGCGGCAACCTGATGCCTATCAAACTGTGACTCACGGGGTTACCAATGGCGAAGACCCGTTGCCCGACCATGAGGTCTGAGGACGATCCGATGGTGACCGGGTGCAGTGACTCCTGGGGGGCATCGATCAGCAGCACTGCCACGTCCTTGTCCTCATCACACCCCACCACCACCGCTGCATGCACGGAGGAGTCTGAAAGGGTGACCCTGGGTGCGTGGATCAAGTAAGATGGAGGAATAAGAAATGAGATGAAGAGAGAGAGCTTGATTCGCATCATTGCCACGTCCTTGTCCTCGTTGCACCCCACCACCACCCTCGAAGAACAGGAAGAAAGGTGAGTGGTTATGAGTGAATTCAAAGCACTGCCACGTCCTTGTCCTCATCACACCCCACCACCACTGCTGCATGCACCGAGGAGTCTGAGAGTGTCACTCTGAGTGGGATTAAATGGGGGAAAGAGAGATGAGATCAAGGGAGAGAGGTTGGGAGGCTATCAACAGCACTGCCACGCGTCCTTGTCCTCGTTGCACCCCACCACCACCGCTGCATGCACCGAGGAGTCTGATAGGGTGACTCTGAGTGGGATTAGATGGGGGAAAGAGAGATGGGATCAAGGGAGAGAGGTTGGGAGGCGATCAGCAGCACTGCCGCGTCCTTGTCCTCATCACACCCCACCACCACTGCTGCATGCACAGAGGAGTCTGAGAGTGTCACTCTGTGTGCGCAGGTGTCATAAAGCAAGGAAGTGAGGGGAAGGGAAGGGAAGGGAAGGGAAGGTGGGAGGGGTTGAGAGGCGATCAGCAGCACTGCCACGTCCTTGTCCTCATCACACCCCACCACCACTGCTGCATGCACCGAGGAGTCTGAGAGGGTGACTCTGTGTGACCAGGCGCGGTAAAGCAAGGCAGGGAGGGAAGGGATGGAGGGGAGGGGGGAAGGTTGAGGGGCATCGATCAGCAGCACTGCCACGTCCTTGTCCTCGTCACAGCCCACCAACACCGCTGCATTTGCGATCACGTGGTAGTTGGTCACGATGTGCCCCGCCTCGTCCCATATAAACCCGCTGCCCGACCCTTGCACTGCGCCTATCACTCCAATTCCCTCTCTCCAACTCGACTTCTCACCTGGAGTGGATAGCTCACCTGACATCAGCAGCATTGGAGATCACGTGGTAGTTGGTCACGATGTGCCCCACCTCGTCCCAGACAAACCCGCTGCCCGATCCTTGCGGCACCGCCAGCACGTCGAGTGTCACCGCGTCGCTACCCACGCCGAGGTTCGTGATGTTCACAACGGACGGCGTCGTCTCCTTGAACAATCGGACGGTCGCGATCTCATCCTGGGAAAGCGTGCGCGGAGGCGCCGCCACGTAAGCGAGCGCGGGATTTGGGGAGGAGGAGAGGACGAGCATCGCGATCGACGCTGACGTGGCTAGTTTCCGCCAATCAAAAGCCGACGACTTCCGGAAAACAGGGACCGTCGATTCCGGCGAACGGGAAGGGAGCGAAGAGGAGGAGGAGGAGGAGGAGGAGGAGGAGGAGGAGGAGGAGGAGGAGGAGGAGGAGGAGGAGGAGGAGGAGGAGGAGGAGGAGGAGGAGGAGGAGGAGGAGGAGGAGGAGCCTACGCTGTCGCAATGCATTTTCTGCGAAAGTTCGTGCCGCCACTGGCCAAGTACCCGACGCACGGCTGTGACTAAAGCGGTTGCCCTGGTGTTCTGAGGTGATCCGCTATCGGGGTCGAAGTTCGACTGGCTGACATTGCGATCCCCGTTATAAGCAGCAACACGAGACGAAACGACGCGCGATGACGGTGCGCCGATATCCCAGTTATAAGCCTTAATAAGTACGCAGTTGACATCATTGGTAGCCGACTCTCCTGATGTTGATTGTACTAACGGGTGCTTTTCCACTGATCTTTGAGGGCTACGCGCTTCGAGAGCATCCCTGCCGTTCGTTGTCGGCAGAGAAACTCGTGCGGCGGGTTCTGAGAGTCCAGATGACGCCACGTGGCGATTCTTGAGTGGCTGGAATGTTCGCAACGTGCAATGGCTGGGATCGGCGGATATAGCGATTAAAGGTTTTAATCGACGGGAGCGGGGCGGGAGAAACGGCCCATGCGACGCTTCGCGAAAGGAAGCTTCAGACGACGAGCTGGTTACCCTATTGCGCGAGGACGGCATGGACGATGCACCTCGCGCGCGAACGACGTGCGACGCGGGAATTGTAGCCATGGTGGTGAGTCGACCAGGTTCCTACTCCTTTCAGAGCCACGTTTCTAGAAGGGGGAAAGGTGATCCCTCCCTCTCACACTCAAGAGTTGTTTTTTTTTGTGAAGTTCGTTTTGTGTTTTCGTTCGTCGTCGCACAGTGCATCCGCCGTCGCTGATGCTCATTGCTGTTGCTTCTGTTGGTTGCTTGGGTTGTTGGTTGGTCGCTGGGGAGGGCAGAGTGTGTGGGAGAGAGGGCTATTGGATTGGCGCTGCTGCTGCTGGCGATTAGTTGACCCGCTTAGGCGGACGGTGACGGTTTCCGTCTGTTCTTCAAATCGCGCGCCTCTTGCTGTTTCGCGCCCCATGCGCCGCATGCGCTTTTGCGCCACTTGTTATTTCGCGCCCTGTTTGCTCCCCAAGTTACATCCTTCGATTCCCCCCAACCTCGATTTTGCCGGCAATTCGCCCCTGGATACTCCCGTTCCGCCCCCCCTTGTTTGCAAATCCGGGGCCGATCGAGCGATCCAAACCGCGACAACAAAAGGTGATCGTGCGATTCCACGCGTGCCAATACGAGCGCCAACAGAGTCGCACAGATGCTCCTCGTCATCAATTTCACCCTTTCCGCCCGCTCCTCCAATTCCCCCAATTCCCCCACCTCCCCCCCACCACCACACCCTCCCCTCCTTCCTCTACTCGCGATTTTGCTAATCGCCGACGTACAGAACGATTTGTCGGCGTACGAAACAACCAATCAGTTGTCAAAATTCCTATCGTCATGATGAATGAGTGTACGGCCAACTTCATACATACTCAAATTATTCCCGAGGGGGTTCTCAATGAGTTCCAGCTTGTCGCTTACTGAACAGAAGCGCTTCGTCAACAGAGCGACGTCAGTTCGTCGCTGAATGACCTGGCGCGTTCGTCATACTCCCCTTAGTGTTGAGCCGTTTCTCAAATACGTATAGAAAACAGTGCAGCCTTCAGTGCATCTACATATTAACATATGCAGGGCTAGATTACGCAACTCACAAATTGCATCACTCCAACAAAGTATCCATGGAGAGCTTAGTTAATGGCCCGACATTCCATTCGTGTCGTGGCCGGTGAGGTGGAGTCAGAGTTGGCTATGACCAATCGTCGCGCATTTATCATCACTCCGATTTTTTCTCTCGTCCGCTGTCTCTTTTATCCACAGCAAACCTCACCTTCCCTTCACCCTTCTCCCCTTTATCCCCTTTCTCCTCCTCCCCCTTTGCCTTCTCCGTACCACTTCTCCTCCCGCTCGCAGCCACGCTCCCACTCCCAGCAGCAGCAATGGCCAAAGCAGCGGCAGCAGCAGCTGTGCCATTAAGAGCACTATTGGCTCTTATCTGTTGTGCTTTGTTAAGCACCGCTGCCATGCGCCTGTTCCTAACCGCTTTAAAAACATCCTCTACAGAGAGACCGAGTTTTCGTCTCAAGTACCGGCGGAACGCCAGCTGGATCGTGCGGGCGGCGTGCGTTCGTCTGTTGTAGCAAATTTGGCTGGTGGTGGGGCAAGGATGCAGGGACAGAGAACGGCGGAGGCGGGAAAAGGGCGTGAAATTCATGAATAAAAGAAGACCAGAAACTTAGTCAATTTACAAATATAGGGCACGATGAAAAGACAGCAGCAGAATGGACTGAGGGAAGTGAGGAGGCAAGTTCTTACATATTTTTGTATACATATACAACTAGGAAAAATCAACCAGCCAGCCAAACAAGCAAACAAACAAACAAAAAGAAGAAGAATCTCACTTGAGGGCGCGCTGAACGGTGTTAGTGCAGAGCATGCGTGCAAACTGCTTGCACACGATCGCCACGTCAGCAGCCTCCAGCGAGTACCCTTCCACGGGCCCCAGGCAGCGCACCGACCGCTGGGCCGTGGGTAAAACATCCACTGATGGCTGCGCCTGGGAGAGGTTGGCCGAGCTGGTGAGCGATGGCGTGACTGAGATGGCTGGGGGGAGGGGAGTGGGGGGATTGTGGATATGAAGGTGCAGTCATTACACGACATTCCAGGGAGATTTCCTCCCTTGGAAAGCACCCCTCCCTCCAGCGAGTACCCTTCCACAGGCCCCAGGCAGCGCACCGACCGCTGCGCCGTTGGCAAAACATCCACCGATGGCTGGGAAAGGTTGGCAGACCTGGCGTGGTTGAGATGGCTTGGGGGAGGACTTTGGAGGGTGGTAGGGTGGTTGGGTGGGAGGGTGTTGGGAAGATGAGAGACGGAACTAACACCCCCCTCTCTCATAACCCTTCCCTTCATCAAATTCTCACATCTTCTCATACCCTTCCATTCAAATCGAAACTCACATCTCTTGAGAGTCAAGGATCGCCCTGAGCCCTGCCCACTGGCAGCAGAGAGCCTCTCCAAGCAGTCAACCAGCAGCTCCTCCCCCAGAAAGTCCCCCTTGCCCAGCACCACCATATCCGGCATCCCCGTGTGCCCCCCGAACCACTCACACACTGTTATCCCTCACTTCTCCTCATGGTAAGCGATCGCCCTGAGCCCTGCCCACTGGCAGCAGAGAGCCTCTCTATACACTCCACCAGAAGCTCCTCCCCCAGGAAGTCCCCCTTGCCCAGCACCACCGTGTAGCTAGCCCTCCGCCCCACTCCTTTCGGCCCAAACAAACCCAAACAAACCCAAACAACCCAAAACAAACCAAAACAAACCTAAACAAACCCAAACAAACCTAAACAAACCTGAACAACCCTGAACTCACATCTCCTCATGGTAAGCGATCGACCCGACCCCTGCCCACTGGCAGCAGAGAGCCTCTCCAAGCAGTCAACCAGCAGCTCCTCCCCCAGAAAGTCCCCCTTGCCCAGCACCACCGTATCCGGCATCCCCGTGTGGCCCCCGAACGTGGAAAAGCTCTCGAGCTCGCCTCTTAGAACAAAGAAGATGCGCGAGACGGGGTAGCCTTCTCGTATGATCATAGAGCCAGCCGTGTAGATCTGCTGCTGCAGCCGCGCACAGAAGGCGTCCAGGACTGGGGGTTCCATGGCACAGAAGAGCACGGACTGGCGGTGGGGGGGGGAGGGGATAAGAATCACGAGCGAAAGGTCAGGACAGAGGGGTGTTGGAGAGACGGGGTAGCCTTCTCGTATGATCATAGAGCCAGCCGTGTAGATCTGCTGCTGCAGCCGCGCACAGAAGGCGTCGAGAACTGGCGGCTCCATGGCACAGAAGAGCACGGACTGCAGGGGGAGGGGAGGGGGGGAAGGAGGAGTGGGGAGGGAGAGGGGAGGAGAGGGAGTGAGGATGACGGGAGAATGGGGAGGCGCCGAACGAGGAGAAGCTCTCGAGAGCTCGCCTCTCAGGCACCTCCTCGTTCGGAGAATGGAGAGGCACAAAGCCATCGAGCTCTCGAGAGTTGACTTTTGAGTCGACTCAAAAGTCAACTCGGAGAATGGAGAGGCACAAAGCCATCGAGCTCTCGAGAGTTGACTTTTGAGTCGACTCAAAAGTCAACTCGGAGAATGGAGAGGCACAAAGCCATCGAGCTCTCGAGAGTTGACTTTTGAGTCGACTCAAAAGTCAACTCGGAGAATGGAGAGGCACAAAGCCATCGAGCTCTCGAGAGTTGACTTTTGAGTCGACTCAAAAGTCAACTCGGAGAATGGAGAGGCACAAAGCCATCGAGCTCTCGAGAGTTGACTTTTGAGTCGACTCAAAAGTCAACTCGGAGAATGGAGAGGCACAAAGCCATCGAGCTCTCGAGAGTTGACTTTTGAGTCGACTCAAAAGTCAACTCGGAGAATGGAGAGGCACAAAGTCATCGAGCTCTCGAGAGTTGACTTTTGAGTCGACTCAAAAGTCAACTCGGAGAATGGAGAGGCACAAAGCCATCGAGCTCTCGAGAGCTCGCCTCTCAGGCACAAAGCAATCGAGCGAGCTCTCGAGCTCCCCTCTGAGCACGAAGACGATGCGCGAGACGGGGTAGCCCTCTCGTATGTATAATCATAGAGCCAGCCGTACCGTACCGTACCACACTGTACTGTACAGTTTCTTACCTGACACAGCAGTACACTGGGAGGGACTCACGCATTGTAGTAATTCGAGGCACAGTGAGCGGCGGAGGTCAATTTGAATGGAGTCCGAGAAGTTGTCCAGCAGCTCTGCCTCACACCCTACCATATCATACCATACTGCACCTCACTACACCAGGAGGACTCACGCATTGCAGCAGCTCGAGGCACAGCGAGCGGCGGAGGTCGATTTGAATGGAGTCCGAGAAGCTGTCCAGCAGTTCTGCCTCGTCCACGCCCCTTGTTGCCGCCCACTGCAGCCGCAATTGAGCCTGCACCTGCCTGCAGTCAAACAAGTCAACAGAAGTCAACAGGGTCAATAGGGCATGAAATGTGAGGAGCGGTTCAAGTGACTCTGGCTGCCAAGCAGCTCTGCCTCGTCCACACCCCTGGTTGCCGCCCACTGCAACCTCAGCTGCGCCTGCACCTGCCTGTTGGGGGGAGGGGGGGGGGAGGGATTCGATGGGGTCAACAGGGTCAACAAGGTCAACAGGGTCAACAGGGACAGCAGGGTCCACAGAGTAAAAAAATAAAATAAAAATCAAACAGAGTAAAAAAGGTAAATCAGAGTCAAACAAAGTCAACAGGTCGGAATGTGAATAGCGCTTGGCTTAAGTCGGCTACATCGTAGTCGAAAAGAGTAAATACCGGAAGGTATTTCAGCCCTAGTCAACGCCCCTCCAGTCAAAGCGCTGAAAAGCACCGGAAGGTTCTGGGAAGCTTACTTCTGGAGGTCGACGGGAAGATTCCTGCGCTGCATCCACGCGTCGATGTCGTGGCGCTGCAACTGATACTCAAAGGACCTGTTGGGGGGGGGAGGAGGGGGAGAGGAGGGGGAGAGGAGGGGGAAGAAACGAGAGAGAGGCGATGAGAGATTGGAAAGGCTCCTCCGCTGCTTCCACGCGTCGATATCGTCGCGCTGCAACTGATAATCCAAAGGACCTGTTGGGGGGGGGGAGGAGGGGGAGAGGAGGGCGAGAGGAGGGGGAAGAAACGAGAGAGAGGCGATGAGAGATTAGAAAGGCTCCTCACCTGCATCCACGCGTCGATGTCGTGGCGCTGCAACTGATACTCAAAGGACCTGTTGGGGGGGGGAGGAGGGCGAGAGGAGAGAGAGAGAGAGAGAGAGAGAGAGAGAGAGAGAGAGAGAGAGAGAGAGAGAGAGAGAGAGAGAGAGAGGAGGCCGAGAGGAGGGCCAATATGAGGAGATGCTGCCAATGAGGAGAGCCAGCAGCAGCAGACCGATGATGGTGACGACTTACTCGTGTGGTAACCACATTGGTAACCATTAACCCGTTCACGTCCCCCGTATTACTCACCTTTCTGTTGAGCGACTGCAGGTAGTTGGAGATGTTGCCGATGAGGAGCGCGAGCAGCAACAGAGGTGACTTTTGAGTCGAGGTGACTTTTGAGTCGACTCAAAAGTCACCTCGTTGGAGATGTTGCCGATGAGGAGCGCGAGCAGCAACAGGCCGATGATGGTTGACCAATCACTTGTGTGATAACTGCTTACTGAACATTCCTGGTAACCCAGTGCCTACTTGTGTTGGCTCTACCATCCCACCTACCTTCTGTTGAGCGACTGCAGGTAGTTGGAGATGTTGCCAATGAGGAGCGCGAGCAGCAGCAGGCCGATGATGGTGACGACGATGACAAAGAGCACCTCCACGTCCCACCGTGACGGCACGAGGTTGCCACACAGCGTGCTCACTTGCTGAAGAGGAATTATGGAAGGGGGGAGAGAGAGGAGGGACGGACGGGAAGGGGAAGAAAAGGGGCGGGGGTGTGTGGTGACGACGATGACAAAGAACACCTCCACATCCCACCGCGACGGCACGAGGTTGCCACACAGCGTGCTCACTTGCTGTGGTGAGGGCAGGGGAGACGAATGGGGAGAGGATTTCCAGAGAAGTGGGGAGGAGGGGAGTAAGGGAAAGGGGGGAGATGAAGGGAGAGGGGGGGGAGGGTGGGAAGTATGAGTGGAGTGAGGAAGCGAGCAGCAGCAGCAGCAACAGACCGATGATGGTTACAACGATGACAGATAGCACCTCCACGTCCCATCGCGACGGCACGAGGTTGCCGCACAATGTGCTCACTTGCTGTGAGGGATTGAGTGGGGAGAAGGGAGGAGAGAAGGAGGGGGGAAGAGGGGGGTTGGGTGGTGACGATGACAAAGAACACCTCCACATCCCACCGTGACGGCACCAGGTTGCCACACAGCGTGCTCACTTGCTGTGGTGATTGGCAGGGGGGGAGGGGAGGAGGGAAGGGAGGTAAAGGGAAGGGGAGAGAAAGGAGGGGGTGGGCGATGACAGATAGCACCTCCAGATGTGGAGGTTGCCACACAGTGTGCTCACTTGCTGCAGTGGGGGCAGGGGAGACGAGGAGAGGAGAGGAGAGGAGAGGAGAGGAGAGGAGGAGAGGAGGGGAGTAAGGGAGAAGGGTGGGTTGGGTGGCTGACAACGATGACGAATAGCACCTCCACGTCCCACTGTGACATCACCAGGGTGCCACACAGGTTGCCACACAGGGTGCCACACAGGGTGCCACACAGGGGAGTACAGGCATGTCGTGACAACTTTTGAGACGTCTCAAATGTGGTGACGTTCATGCCGGTGTGTGCTGCTTCAAGGCTTATGTGTCTCGCCGGTGTGAACTAACGCTTATGTGACTCGCCGGTGTGAACTAACGCTTATGTGTCTCGCTGGTGTGTGATCGGCTCACCTGCAGGCCCCAGAAGAAAGAGTAGAGGTAGTTTGACACCACGTCCGGGCTTGCCGTGAGGGGGATGCGTCTGGGACACGCCCATGCGCTTTACGCAACAATACGTGAGACAGACGCGCATTTGGGACCAAACTGCTCACCTGCAGTCCCCAGAAGAAGGAGTAGAGGTAGTTTGACACCACGTCCGGGCTTGCCGTAAGGGGGATGGCATTTGCAAACACGCCGTACGGGATGGGCGAATCCGTTTTGCCGTCATCCCCAGGGGTGTACAGGCATGTGGTGACGTTCTTGCCGGTGTACTGCGGTGAAAAGAGGTCCGCAGAGGCGACGGTGGTGACTGGGCCGTTGGTGTTGCCGCAGTAGAGGTAGGTGGGGTTGCAGCCTTGGGTGTTGGCACACACGTGCTGTAGGCACTCGCTGAATCGCTGGAGGGGGTTGGGATGGGGGTGGGGGTGGGTATGGAGGAATGGCCCGAAGGGAAAGGGGGAGAGGGGGAGCAGAGAGAGGAGAGAGAGACGGACAGGGGGAGAGAGGGTAAGACGGGGGCGTTGGTATTGCCGCAGTAGAGGAAGGTGGGGTTGCAGCCTTTGGTGTTGTTGCACACGTGTTGCAAGCACTCGCTGAAACGCTGGAGGAGAAGAGAAGAGGAGAGAAGGACAGGGAGAGAGAGGGACAGTGGCGTTGGCGTTTGCTGCAGTAGAGGTAGGATGAGAGGTAGGATATTGGAGGGATGGAGGTAGGAGGGGTTAAATCCTCGAGTGTTGGAACAAACATATTGCAAGCACTCATCAAAACGCTGATGGTGGGCGGGAGAGGAGACAAGGACCGAGAGAGAAGGTAAAGACAGGTACGTAGGAGGGGTTGCATTTACGGGTCTTGGAACCGACGTATTCCAGGGAAGGCAGGAAGAGAAAGGCAGCACTCCCGTCGAGGGCGAGGGCGAGCATGTAAACAAGGAGGGCAGCACTCACATCTACTGCCAGGATGTACCACACCCCTCCCACGAAGTTGAGAGGCCATGAGGTAAAAGAGGAGGTTGAGAAAACAGGCAGGAAGGCAGACAGGCAGGAGGGAAGGCAGGCAGGCAGGCAGGCAGGAAACAAGGAGGGCAGCACTCACATCAACAGCCAGGATGTACCACACTCCGCCGACGAAGCTGAGAGGCTAGGAGGTAAGGGGGAGAACTCATACTTGGATGAACAGCTCGGCAGCATGGGAAGGAAGTTGGCCCAGGCGGTTTCAAACACAAAGCCCGCCACATGCGACGCCGTGCCCGCCAGCAGAGGGAAGAAGCGGGCAGGGGAACGACTCATACTTGCATCAACAGCACATCAGCAGGGAAAGGAAGGGGAAGCAAGGGGAAGGCAACACTCACGTCGACTGCGAGAATGTACCACAAATTGGACGCCATGAGGTAGAAGACGAGGTTGAGGAGGAAGTTGGCCCACGTTGAGAGAAAAAACGTTCAAGGCAGCAAGAGCGAGCAAGGAACGAAGGACTCACATCAACTGCGAGGATGTACCACACCCCTCCCACGAAGTTGGAGGCCATGAGGTAGAAGACGAGGTTGAGGAGGAAGTTGGCCCACGTTGAGAGAAAAAACGTTCAAGGCAGCAAGAGCGAGCAAGGAACGAAGGACTCACATCAACTGCGAGGATGTACCACACCCCTCCCACGAAGTTGGAGGCCATGAGGTAGAACACGAGATTGAGGAGGAAGTTGGCCCACGTTGAGAGAAAAAACGTTCAAGGCAGCAAGAGCGAGCAAGGAACGAAGGACTCACATCAACTGCGAGGATGTACCACACCCCTCCCACGAAGTTGGAGGCCATGAGGTAGAACACGAGATTGAGGAGGAAGTTGGCCCACGTTGAGAGAAAAAACGTTCAAGGCAGCAAGAGCGAGCAAGGAACGAAGGACTCACATCAACTGCGAGGATGTACCACACCCCTCCCACGAAGTTGGAGGCCATGAGGTAGAACACGAGATTGAGGAGGAAGTTGGCCCACGCGGTCTCAAACACAAAGCCCGTCACATGCGACGCCGTGCCCGCCAGCAGGGGGAAGAAGCGCGCAGCGCGGGGGATGTTCTGGATGCAGAGCGCGAGGAGGGTGAGGACGGCGATCCACGTGTTGGCTGCTGTGGTGACGGTCCTGCCGAGAGCTGGGACGATCCCTAGGATGAATATCTGGAAGCCAAGGAAGAGTGGGGTTGGGTTGGGAGGGGGAGGAGCAGGGGAAGCGAGGAGAAGAAGGGGGAAGGGAGAGAAGGGGAGCGGAGGAAAGGGAAGGGGAGAGTAAGTGAGGGGAAGGGAGACACTGAGGGGAAGCGTGCCCGTCACATGCGACGCCATGCCCGCCAGCAGCGGGAAGAAGCGGGCGGCGCGGGGGATGTTCTGAATGCAGAGCGCGAGGAGCGTGAGGACTGCTATCCACGTGTTGGCTGCTGTGCTGACAGTTTTGCCGAGAGCTGGGACGATCCCTAGAATAAATATCTGTGGGGCAGGGGCAGAAACGGAAGGAGAGGGCCGGTACAAGGGGGGATGTTTTGGATGCGGAGAGCGAGGAGCATGAGGAGGACTGCGATCCACGTGTTGGCTGCTGTGCTGACGGTCCTGCCGAGGGCTGGGACGATCCCTAGGATGATAAACTGTTGGGCATTGGCAGACACAAAAGGAAAAGAGGTAAGGGGGGGGTAGCAGGGGATGGACGGGACGCATGGGAGGAAGGCACGTGTTGGCTGCTGTGGCGACGGTCCTTCCCAGTGCCGGGAGTATGCCCAGGATGAAGATCTGTTGGGTGGGGGTGGGTGCGGAGAGGAGGAGGGGGGGAAAAGAAAGGTTCTCAGCATGGAACGGAAGGGAAGGATTGGATTATGGGACACTTACCTTCAGGGCAGGGCAATACCTCACCACGGGGGATAAGCAGCAGGGCAAAAGGCACTGCTGCCAGAGGGGGAAAGGCGGGCCAACAGGACAGTGCTCAGAGACTTACTTGCGGAATGGCAGGGTCGATACGTGTGAAGTGTTTCACCAATAAGCATCTCACCTGGCTGGCAATGACCCTCGTGTCCGTCTCCATGTCCCCCGGGGCCAGTTGGGAGTCCTGCAGGGCTGAAATGCGCTTCCATACCAAGCCTCTTACATGGGGAATGCCCTACCAGGGGACGAGGGGTACCTTACCTTACCTCTTCAAGCATCTCACCTGGGGGATGGGGAACGTGGAGACGAGGTCCACGAAGAACCAGGACTTGAGGTATTGCATGGCGATCACCCTCGTGTCCGTCTCCATGTCCCCCGGGCCCAGCTGAGACGGTTCAGCATACCACCAGCCTTACCTGGTCGAGCCCTCACTTGGGTGAGGTAAGAGCCTTACCTGGGGGATGGGGAAGGTGGAGACGAGGTCCACGAGGAACCAGGACTTGAGGTATCGCATGGCGATGACCCTCGGCATGTGTGTCTGTCTCCATGTCCCCCGGGGCCAGCTCAAACCTCTCTGCATACCACTAGGCGAGTTACACGAGTTACCTTGTGTGGGCATACCTTACCAGGCGCGTTACAGCGTTACCTGAGGGATAGCTTACCAGGCGCGTTACGAGCATCACCTGGGGGATTGGAAATGTCGACACTAAATCCACGAGGAACCAGGACTTGAGGTATCGCATGGCGATGACCCTCGTGTCTGTCTCCATGTCTCCTGGTTCCAGCTGAGAGGGCTCGGCGTACCACCAGCGCAGGCAGCTCCACCTATAGGAGCGGTTGCTGGGCGCCGGGACGAAATAGGCTATGCGGAACTGGTATGGGGGTAGAGGGGGATGGGGCGAGTGCGGGAGGGAATGAAGGGGTGTTGGGAGGGCGAGGTGGGAGTGTGAGCTGGGAGGGCCAGCTGAGAGGGCTCGGCGTACCACCAGCGCAGGCAGCTCCACCTATAGGAGCGGTTGCTGGGCGCCGGGACGAAATAGGCTATGCGGAACTGGTATGGCTGTAGAGGGGGATGGGGCGAGTGCGGGAGGGAATGAAGGGGTGTTGGGAGGGCGAGGTGGGAGTGTGAGCTGGGAGGGCCAGCTGAGAGGGCTCGGCGTACCACCAGCGCAGGCAGCTCCACCTATAGGAGCGGTTGCTGGGCGCCGGGACGAAATAGGCTATGCGGAACTGGTATGGGGGTAGAGGGGGATGGGGCGAGTGCGGGAGGGAATGAAGGGGTGTTGGGAGGGCGAGGTGGGAGTGTGAGCTGGGAGGGCCAGCTGAGAGGGCTCGGCGTACCACCAGCGCAGGCAGCTCCACCTATAGGAGCGGTTGCTGGGCGCCGGGACGAAATAGGCTATGCGGAACTGGTATGGGGTTAGAGGGGGATGGGGCGAGTGCGGGAGGGAATGAAGGGGTGTTGGGAGGGCGAGGTGGGAGTGTGAGCTGGGAGGGCCAGCTGAGAGGGCTCGGAGTACCACCAGCGCAGGCAGCTCCACCTATAGGAGCGGTTGCTGGGCGCCGGGACGAAATAGGCTATGCGGAACTGGTATGGCTGTAGAGGGGGATGGGGCGAGTGCGGGAGGGAATGAAGGGGTGTTGGGAGGGCGAGGTGGGAGTGTGAGCTGGGAGGGCCAGCTGAGAGGGCTCGGCGTACCACCAGCGCAGGCAGCTTCACCTATAGGAGCGGTTGCTGGGCGCTGGGACGAAATATGCCATGCGGAACTGCTGGTTGGGAAGGAGGAGAGAGGGGGACATGGCAGAGAGAAACTTTTGAAAGTTTTTTCAATGAAGGAAACTTGGAAGGGGAAAGGAGAGAGATGCGAAAGAGGTGAGGCGTGTTAAAAGGGCAATGATGAAGAGCAGGGAGCACGCAGGAAATTTTGAGCCGCCTCGAAACTTGTGTTTGGATTGGAGGGCACCGACGCAGATTCGGCAGGAAGGATAAGCGATGTGTGCTAGGGAGGGGAGAAGGGAAAGTAAGTAATATTTCATCAACTTAATGGTATGTGAACGAGGATTATAGTTTAAACAGTATGATATGATGGTAGGTAGGTGTTAGACATACTTTTTTTCATGAACACGAAAATGATTTAAAACGAGCTGTACGCACCTGTATAAATATGTTGATGAGATACATAAGATCCACGATTGACCGCATGACAGTGAGCGTGATGGCAGCAGGGTAGTTGATGTCCAAACACAGGGTGACCTGATAAGGTGCGGGAGAGAAGGAGAGGAGTGAGTGAGAAAGGTGGGAGTGAGAAGGGCAGCAGCACTTTAAAAAGGAACGCATGACAGTGAGCGCAATGGCAGCAGGGTAGTTGATGTCCAGACACTGGGTGACCTGATAAGGGGGGGATGGGTGGAGAAGGGCAATTGAGTTAGTCAGAAGGGTGGCGTTAGATCAACAATTGAACGCATGACATGACAGTGAGCGCAATGGCAGCAGGGTAGTTGATGTCCAGACACAGGGTGACCTGGTGGGAGTGAAGGAGGAGTGAGTGATTAAAGGGGGGTTGAGATAGGCAGCATCACTGGGGTTGGATAGAAACGCATGACGGTGAGAGTGATGGCAGTAGTTTGGGATGTCTAAACACAGGGTGACCTGACGGGAGAGAAGTGAAATTGAGAAAGAGGGGAGTGAGAGGGGGGCAGCATCGGAGATATACAGTAAAGCATCACTGTGAGAGTGAGAGTCATTGCAGCAGGGTGATTGGTGTCCACACACAGGGTGACCTGACGGGAGTGAACCAGGTGCTGGTAACCACATGCTGGTAACCACGTGCTGGTAACCACATGCTGGTAACCACGTGCTGGTAACCACATGCTGGTAACCACATGCTGGTAACCACGTGCTGGTATCCACATGCTGATAACCACATGCTGGTAACCACATGCTGGTAACCACATGCTGGTAACCACATGCTGGTATCCACGTGCTGGTAACCACCTGCTGGTAACCACCTGCTGGTATCCACATGCTGGTATCCACGTGCTGGTAACCACATGCTGGTAACCACATGCTGGTAACCACGTGCTGGTAACCACGTGCTGGTAACCACGTGCTGGTAACCACGTGCTGGTAACCACGTGCAACCGTACCTTGGAGGGCGAGTACATGGTGAGGAGCGTGAAGAGGAACCAGGGGTCGATACAGAAGCCAAAGATGCATGTGTTACAGATGGTAACCACGTGCTGGTAACCAGGTGTATTTTAACTAACCTTGGAGGGCGAGTACATGGTGAGGAGCGTGAAGAGGAACCAGGGGTCGATACAGAAGCCAAAGATGCACGTCACCATGAACCACTTGTTCCACTGCGCCACGAACCTGGGTGGGGGGAGACAAGGAGGGAGAGATGGGCATAGGGGGGCGGATGGGCACGGCACAGGGCAGTGATTAGATGCACGTGACCATGAACCACTTGTTCCACTGCGCCACGTACCTGGGAGAGGGGGAAGGGAATGGGGGCGGCACAAGGGGGAACGGATGGAGCAAGGACAGGACAGGGGAGACCATGGGTACTCAGATATACATATATACACACATGTATACATCTATACACTAGACTGGCAGCATGCCCCAAGGCCCCACCTGGAGTGCGGGTTGAGAATGCCACTGGTTGCACGAGCCCCTCCACGTGCCAGGGATGGCGTACTTTGAAAAAAGGCATAGATACCGCACGCATGCCATAGGCCCCAGCAACAGCATGCCATGCCCCAAGGCCCCACCTGGAGTGCGGGTTGAGAATGCCCACGGGTTGCACGAGCCCCTCCACGAATCGGAAGAACCCCAGCATGGAAACGGTGGTCATACACACATACATGTATACACCTCGAGAGAAACATGCAACAAGGCCCCACCTGGAGTGCGGGTTGAGAATGCCCACAGGTTGAACAAGCCCCTCCACGAATCGGAAGAACCCCAGCATGGAAACGGTGGTCATACACACATACATGTATACACCTCGAGAGAAACATGCAACAAGGCCCCACCTGGAGTGCGGGTTGAGAATGCCCACGGGTTGCACGAGCCCTTCCACGAATCGGAAGAACCCAAGCATGGGCGACCGGCGCTTTCCCTGTATCGACGGGGTGCGAGGTAGAGGGGGGGAGTGGTAGGGGAGATATTTGAAATGGTTACGGGGCTTGAACTGTTAACGGACAAGCATGCGCGACTGGCACTGGGCCGTGCAACAACGGGTTGGGGGTTCTAAAAGCGTGGGAACGAGAGGCTTGTAGGCAGAGGAAAGGAGGAATCGAGAGGGAGGAAGAGAATGGGGGCGGGAGGAAGAGAGAGAGGATGAGGCTGGAAAGGGGAGGATCCGGAACGAACCCGGCTGGTGAAGACAAAGCATGGCAGGCCGCAGCAGCGAATGATGGTCCTCTTCTTGAGTCGACTCAAAAATAGACGAGGAACGAACCCGGCTGGTGAAGACAAAGCATGGCAGGCCGCAGCAGCGAATGATGGTCCTCTTCTTGAGTCGACTCAAAAATAGACGAGGAACGAACCCGGCTGGTGAAGACAAAGCATGGCAGGCCGCAGCAGCGAATGATGGTCCTCTTCCCGCCCGTCTCCTCATCGTACTCGTAATCAAACTCGTCAAAATCATTCTCAAAATCGGAGCGAGAGAGGGCGAGGTTTGAAAGGAGGCGAGGTTCGAAGGGAGGGGGGGACGAGGAACGAACCAGGCTGGTGAAGACAAAGCATGGCAGGCCGCAGCAGCGAATGATGGTCATCTTCCCGCCCGTCTCCTCATCATACTCGTCGAAATCAAACTCGTCATAATCATACTCACTTTTGAGGCGCCTCAAAAGTACTCGTCATACTCCTCGTCATCCACCAAATTCAAAAGTACTTTTGAGCGAGAGAGAGCGAGGTTCGAAGGGAGGGGGGGGTAGGTAGGAACGAACCCGGCTGGTGAAGACAAAGCATGGCAGGCCGCAGCAGCGAATGATGGTCCTCTTCCCGCCCGTCTCCTCATCATACTCGTCGAAATAAACTCGTCAAAATCATACGCACTTTTGAGGCGCCTCAAAAGTACTCGTCATACTCCTCGTCATCCACCAAATCAAACTCGTCGAAATCAGACTCAAATTGGGAGCGAGAGAGAGCGAGGTTCGAAGGGAGGGGGGGGTAGGTAGGAACGAACCCGGCTGGTGAAGACAAAGCATGGCAGGCCGCAGCAACGAATGATGGTCCTCTTCCCGCCCGTCTCCTCATCATAATCCTCATCATCCTCGAAATCAAACTCGTCGAAATCATACTCAAAATCGTCCATTCCTCCTCCGCCTCTTCCCCCGTCCCCTCCCCCGTCCGCCCCGTCGCTTCCCCGCTTCCCCCCTCCGCGCCCGTCTCGCGACGCCAGCGGCTGCGGGAACTCGTCAATCGCCGCCGACATAAGCTTCCGGTTCCGAAGCGCGTGCATCTCGGGGGGACACTTGTTACACGTCGGATCCATGCACATGATCATAGATTTCTGCACTATATTCGATTTCGGTATGCTTGGCGTGTTCGGGGCAGTCCCCCCCCATGACCCCGACTGGGGGATCGCCGACGGCGGCGGAAACATTCCCGACTGCCCGATCAGCCCCGACTGGCCAATCATGCCCGACTTTCCCATGCCCGGGCCGGGAAACTGCCCGGACATCGGCCCGCCGGGCCGCCTCCCGCCGCGGAGAATCCCGCTGTCTCCCGGGCGGTAGCTGGGGAAGGCGGCTTCCGGCATGCGCCCGCGCTGGAGGTGCTGCGACGGGGACCACAGCCGCGCGTCTCCGCTCAAGTCGCTGCCCATTCCGCGGTGCGCCGCGCCATCGCCGGGGGAAGATATTGGGTGGGGGCGGGGGTAGATGGCGGAAGATGCCGGGCGGGTCCTCCGCCGAGGGGGGGGCTCCGGCATTTCCATGGACAGATTCCGCCTGTCGCGCTCGGGATCCCGCGGCTGGAAACCCGGAAAGCCTTGCTGAAACCCTAACGGAGTGGGCGGGTTAGTGGACGTGAAACTGACGTCTAACGGAGCCGTCAGCGGGCCGCTAGGAGTGGTTGGATCCGAACTAGGCACGGCTGCTGCGGCGGCTGCTGCGGCGGCGGCAGACGCGGAGGCTGACGCAGCGGCTGTTGCGGCGGCAGCCGCGGAGGCCATGGCGGAAGGGGGTACGGGCGCTCCCGCCGCCCCGCGTGCCCATCTGGGGGTGTAAAGGGAAGTGCTGCCGGTGCGCTCGACAACTCCTCCCGATGAGCCGGAGCCGCGCTCGAAAATCCCGGAAGTGCTCGGGGCGCGCTCCGCCGATGCGAAGGAGGCAGGAGCCGTCCCAACGTCGACCCTTGGGCAGGGTAAGGCGGCGGCGGCGTCGACCGTTGGGGGCTCTGGTGGGATGCCGTGCTCGGGGAGACGTCTGTCTCGCTCCATTGCCGGAGCGACTTCGCAGGGTCTTTCCTTTCGCGAGCTTGAATTCAGAGTTGATGAGCGAAAACGATGCGTGCAAGAAACGCGACGGGGTCGAAATTATGGAATGGTACGTTTAACTTAGGAGGAAACCGAGGGATTTTGAGACGTCTGAAGTTAAATTAGCCGGGACCAAGGTCAATGCGAACAAAGGTTGTCCAGAGGTTACCAAGAAAATGAAGGGGACCAGGGGTTTTTATTTTAGTCGACTCGAAAACAGGAGTAACGCGAACAGAGCAGCACTGAATTTGCTTTGTGCCTTCTTCTCTGAGAGGCGGCTGTATTAGAGTTGCTTTTGAAATCTCTCAAAAGTTACTCGGTTTCGGAGGTTATAGCTTCTCTAGGACTACGTTGAGGATTAGGCTGGAACGGTCGAACGCTGCGGTGGTAGTGCGTCACGTATGCCGGCGAGCCAACTAGGCTTGCCTTTCTGGAATGCGATTGATGCTTGTGCAGAAACGGGATGGAGACGATGCATAACGCTGGCTCTTACGAATCTAACGCGGATGAACCTATTACAAGCGCGACAGCACTCGCGGGGAATGGGCCTACCGCGCTTCCATAACGCGTTCCTATAATTGCTCGGGACATGGCTGATGGAGAGGGGAAAGGGCGGCCATGGATGAGGAAATGGATGGAATTATTGGATGGGGTGAGTCGAGGACTCCAAGGTTCAGTTTAGAAGACAGTCTATTACACCCACTTTCTCAACCTTTTCACCTAGCGCGACTCGTTGCTACAGTACTTGTCTCGTGCGGTCAGGTGCCATAAAATGTTCCTAGCAATCTGGGGGGGAAAGCTGAACCACGTGACAAACTGGCTCAAGGGTGTAAAATTTCCGTTATCGCTGTATACCTTACCCAACCAAAGGAAAACGTGGACACATTTGTTTGTAACGTGCATCACCTCACCTAACCGCATTCGTCGCATTGTGCTTGTACAGTTGGTGACAAGACCATTCTGAACGTGGTGACGTTCTACAACCCGTGTATGTTCTGCAACCAGATGCTCTATTAGCGCGAAAGAGGGTGTACAGTATTCGGTCAAGGAAAAAGATGGCTGGTGAGACAAGAAGGAAAACATTTCTGGTACTTCCTGCCCAAAAACGTGACCGAGAACTCTCCTTTCCCGCTGCCACGGGTCGCCACTGGCTGGCTGGATAATGGAGGGAAACCGTTATTTTCGCGGCTGCCCGGAGTAGGTGTGTCAGGTCAGGTTGTCCACGGGGATGTCGTGTCGTGTGGCGTGTCCAGCAAGGCCCTGGTTAGAGTTCTGTTGCGGTGCGGCTCGATAATCTCGAGGCAAGTACAGTGCTGGGGTCCGATAATTCCCCGGGATTCCCACGAAGTCAGGGTGGGGGATGGAGCAGCGGGAGTGGGGGTGGGGGTTTGGGGGGAACGCGATGTTGGTTGGTTTGGGTACAGTATCCCAACCTCGAGCCGACACCTTCACCACTCCCAACCATACCACCCACTTCACCAAACCTCCCCCTCCCCACCACCTTCACCACTCTTCCCTACCACACCCAGCGTGAACAGAAACACGGGATGTTCTCGTTCCGAACCAACCGCTGACTGGCTCCGCTTCTCCAAGCCAGGCCCACATGGGTTCGCCAGTTTCCTCCCGAACTCATCGTTAGCTTGGGGATATACGCTTTACAATATGATAACTCGCTAAACTGTTTCATATTGCGTGTACCCCAAAGCTGGGTGTATGTCATTCACCCAGCTCTGGGCTCCCCTAAAGGGGTCCGTGCAATCGCACGGTCGACTGCGCTTCAGTACGTTCCGTTGCGGTTTGAGAGGGTAGAACGGGAAGAACACAGGGACTCTCCCCCCTTGGGATTTGAGGCAGGATAGGCTTCCCGTGTGAGGATCTCCCTCAGCCAGACGCGTACTAGAAGGTCCAGACTTTTCGGAATACCATATTTGCGCGCATCCGGACTTGCTTGCAGGTTGCTGGTAGTTACTTGTTGGTCAGGGAGAAAGTGCTTGCAGCTTGAATTTTGTAATCTCGCAGAATTTTCTGCTTAGTGTCTGTACGAGTAAGCTAGCATTTGCTCCTCCGGGTAGCTACTCGCGAAGCAGTCTCTGCAAAGGGCCGCGATTGCTGTATTTCCATCCAGCATCTACCTGCATTGTTTCCAGACGGTTCAGCGTTTTGCATCCCGCTTTCCACAACGAGAGCGAGACCCGTCGTTGAGTTTTGTCCTGCGATCTCACGGCAAGGCGTCTTTTGAGTCGACTCAAAAGTGTCCTGCGATCTCACGGCATCTCAAAATGGCTTCCGAACTACTACGGCCGCAGGTTAGCCCTTCCTAATGTTGTCGCCCATGAATCTTCTCTCGCGCTTCAGGTGTATAAGAGTCACAGAAGTATACCGGGCGCTAAATCATTGCTATTATTCAAGCAACTAGAGAAATTCCTGTCAGAAGCGTGTGGTGTTATGAGCTAAGATGCACATTTCCAGCTGAATTCAAAATGGCGCTGGTATGCTAGCAGGATGGATGCATCTTACCCGCTAAATCGCGACGTTTATACAATAGGATGATTTCGTTTCGAACAATCTCACCATACCTTTCCTATCCGACCCATCTCGCGGTAAGGAGACGAGTCCGTGCACCAGGAAAGACGTCTCAATTGTCAATCTCACAAATTCCTTGTAACTTTATCAAATTCGCGGCAGGGGGGCGAGTCGATGAACCAGGAAGACACGTCACAAGGTTCCGACGGCGATCAAACCCAGAAGCGTATCAAATGCCATTCTCACAAATCCATTCTGATTTTAACCATTTCGCGGCAGGGGGATGAGACGATGACGCAGGACGACGCGTCACAAGGGGCAGACGGCGTGCAAATACCCAAGGAAGGCACGCTGACGTACGACGGCCGCTACAGGCGCTACAGCTTCTACGGAATCATCTTCGAAGTCCCCGTGCGCTACGTCCCGCTCGTCCCCATTGGCCGAGGAGCTTACGGCATTGTCTGGTGAGATCCGGCATAAGAAGCGGGCGACTTTCGACAGTTTTCTTGTTTGATTTGAGAGCACTCTAAATTATTTGATTCTACTCAATTTATCGCCACTGGTCGAGGAGCCTACGAAATTGGTTGGTGAGCGATGTCTATGGATACGAACCGATAGATGTGATAGGTCAGTCAGTCAGTGCGAGTACGAGAACCAGTGTACTGTAACAGGAGTGTTAGCAAGCGGGCATTAGAGGGGTCGGAAGCTATCGGGTACGCCCAATGTAATAATCTGGGTATGCCTGGTCCGGTATGTTCATAACACATTCTCGTGCATCTATCATTTTTTTTTTTTTTTTTTCGTCAAACTCCACTTCCCCTCAGTTCTGCGAGAGATGAGACGACTGGGGAGGAGGTGGCAATCAAGAAGATCGGCAAGGCATTTAACGACCGCACAGATGCCAAGCGGACTCTCCGCGAGATTGTGCTCCTCCGCAACATGAACCACCCCAATGTGAGCAAACTCAATCAGGCGTACATTTGGGTTAGGGACACTCTCAGGCTAGGTGGAAGCAACCCAGTCCCCTTTAACTTGCCCTTCGAAACTCCTTATCCCCCGCCCCTCTCCTCTCTCCCCTCTCTTTCTCTCCTGCTCCCCCACCTCTCGTCCTACTCCCCTTTTTCCCCACCTCTCCCCATCATTCCCCTCCCCTCCACGTCATCTCTCCCTCCCACTCCCCTTCTCCCCTCTCCTCTCTCCCCCTCCCCACCCAGTGATCGCCATCAAGGACATCATTCGTCCGCCCAACCCTCAGAGCTTACAGAACATGTACATCGTGTACGAGCTCATGCCCACTAACTGCTTCCCCACTCCCTTGCCCTCTCAATATCCCCATCATCCCCCTCCTCATCCTTTCCCCCCCTTATTCTCCCCCTCCCCCCAGGTGATCGCCATCAAGGACATCATTCGTCCGCCCAACCCGCAGAGCTTTCAGGACGTGTATATCGTGTACGAGCTCCCATCCTCCCCCCTCCTTTTCCACTCCCCTCTCTTCCCCCTGCCCCTCCCTCTCTCTCTCGCCTCTCCCTCCTCTCCTCCCACCAGGTGATCGCCATCAAGGATATTATTCGCCCGCCCAACCCTCAGAGCTTCCAGGACGTGTATATCGTGTACGAGCTCATGCCCACGGACCTGCACGAAGTCATTCGGTCAGGGCAAGCCATGGACGAACGGCACTACAAGGTGGGTGGGTGTGTGGCACTGCAACCCATGGAACAACATGGTATTGACATACAGTTGACAGTGGGCTGTGAGTGTGAGTGTGAGTGTGCGGGTGTGAGGTTGCTATGCTATCGTCTACAAGCTTTTGCCCACGGACCTGCACGAAGTCATTCAACCGGGACAGGTCATGGAGGAGGTTGCGCTGCAGCATCAAGATCACTGATGATCTTAACCACCCACCTCTGCCGCTCTCCTTCCCTCCTTCCCCTCCCCCTTCCCCTTCCCATTCCCCTGCTGATGTATTCCCTTTTCTTATCCTCCTTTTTCCCAAATGTCCCCTCTCCCTCCCCACTTTCCTCTCCCCAGTTCATCCTGTTCCAGCTACTGCGGGGCACAAAGTACATCCACTTGGCCAACATCCTCCACCGCTCCACATCTTATACCCTGACCTGACATCACGTTTCTCCTGCCTTCTACCCTCTCCCCTTCCCCCCTTTCCTCTCCCCCAGTTCATTCTCTTCCAGCTCCTCCGGGGAACAAAGTACATCCACTCGGCCAACATCCTCCACCGCGACTTAAAGCCCCCCAACATCCTCATCGACGCGCGCTGCAACATCAAGATCACCGACTTCGGCCTCGCGCGAACCCGCGTGGAAACCACCGACCACCTCACCGAATACGTGGTTACCAGATACTACCGCGCGCCCGAGCTGCTGGTGAACAACCAGCAGTACAGCGCTTCCATCGACGTGTGGTCGGCGGCGCTGATATATCTGGAG